AAAAAAAAAAAAAAAAAAAAAAAAAAAACGGATTTCGTTTGCGTGGTGGCAAATGCCTATAATCCCAGCATTTGGAAAGTAGAGGCAGCAGGAAGATCGGGAACTCAAAGTCAAGGTCATCCTCGGCTACTTATTTTTTTTTTGGGGGGGGGGGGCTCTCTGGCATCAGGCCTGACAGTCGCTTGCACGTTTGTGCCAGATTAACAAAGGGGATGCAGGTAGATGTCTGGATGCCTGTCTGGTACGGGAAGTATCTTGTAGGTGGAAAGGCGGCTATTCTGTTCTCTGTAGGTCAATTTCCACTCCTCAAGGGGAAACGGTCACTGGGATGCTGGTTTCGAGGGTGAAGGGAGGCAGCCACGGAAACCAAGAACCTACAACGATCCTGGGATGCGGAAGATCTCGCGTGATTCCTCGAAAACCTCGGGATTTCCGGGCAGGAAGTCAGAGGGTGGGTTCAGTGTGGCTTTAGGGTTTCGAAACTACAAAGGAAGGAGGGGATTTGGCGGATTGAGCGTTCCAGAATCGAGAGCAAAGGAGGAAGCAGGATGAGGACTCTGACAGGAAAGGGGCCTGGAGCGCTAAAGCCAGCCGTTGCCAGGGAAACGGAGGTGGGAGGAGCCGATCTTGGAGTGACGGGCGCTGGCATAGAGTTTCCGGTCAGGCTGCGTACAGGAGGCGTGACTTCCCTTTGACTGATAGGTCTTGAGAGCGGAGCCTGAAGCTGACTGGTCTAATTTGCTCTGCCCCTTAGATCAAGGGTCCTGGTGGAAGTGGAGTACTGCCCCCTTCCCCAAGTCCTACCTCCACCTCCTTTGTATGCTTTATCTCTCAGGAAAACTGCAGTCATGTGGGAGAATGTACCCAGCTAGTATTTGTCCTGAGAGAGCTTGTGATAGGCCCTATTGCTAACCCCACAGCATTTGAGAAACACTGAAATTAGTAGGAAAAGAAGGAAAGTACACCCTCCTTAAATGACCTGCCAATCTTGGACTAGGCACTGTCTGCAGTGTACAGACAGTTCTGCTATAAAAACATTCTTACCAATTTTATCTTGCACAGATTGCTTCCCAATGCACAGATTCCTCCCAAATGATTCACCCGGCATTGATTCACCAATAAAAGTTCAAGACCTCTTTTCAAGGCAATGCCGAAAAGTCAAAGCTTAGCTGATAAAGAAGCTACAACTGGCCTGGGGCTTTGGGGCTTGGATGGAATGAAATTGAAACGGGTCGCTAAGGGTTCCAAATTTAGTCAAGAATGAAGTTATTTCCTTATGTGCAAGTTATAAAACTCAAGTTTGGAAACTCATTAGTGGCCAAGACTTTGTTTTATTTTTAATAGAGTTCTGGAGACTGACCCTGGGCTGTGCACGTTAGGCAAGTACTCCATCACTGAGCTATACCCAGGCTTTTAATTTTTACTTCCAGACAATGTCTTACAGAGTGACCACTAGCAGCTTTAGTAAAAGGTTTGTGGATAGTTGCGGACAGTTGGTTTTGCTAGTCTGTAAACAAATTGGGCCCAGGAGATATTCCTGAATGTCAAGGGAATCAGGTTTAGCAGCTGCCGGGTCAAAGGAAGCACAGCGGTTGGGAGTCACAGCTCAGCTGGAGTCCTGCTCTCAGTTTTTCCCGGTTTCGTCTGAGACACGACTTCAGTAGCTATACTGGAATTCACTCTGTAGACCACCAGACTGGCTTCAAACTGGGAGATCTACCTGCCACTGCCTCCTAAGTACTGAGATTAGAGGCGTACACCACCATGCCCGGCGTCTTGTTGCTGTTTTTATTTGTTATTTGAAACAGGGTCTCATGTAGTCCAGGATAGCCTCAAGCTTGCTATGTAGTGGAGGGTGACCTTAATTATCAGTCCTAGCCAGGTATGGTGATGTGTGTCTTTAAAATCCCAGCACGTGGGAGATAGAGGCAAGCAGATCTCTGTGAGTTCAAGATCAGCCTGGTTCTATACCATTTAGGGCTACATAGTGTCTCAGAAAAGAAAAAAAAAATCCTTATCCTCCTGCCTCAACCCCCAAATGCGAGGATTACAGGAATGCAGCCCCATGACCACTGACTTGCAACTTTCTTAATGTCTCTAAACTCATGCCTTTTTTCCCCTGGTTTTTCGAGAGAGGGAACTCATGTCTTTTCTAGGGAAGGTATAATATGCCCATCTTACAGGTTTGAGAGATCAAAAGGTAAATGACTGAAGGCAGTTGGCTTCCTTGAGCTGGCACCACACGGCAGGACTCAGGGAACAGGAGCTGCTGCCAACACTCTTGCTTACCCGGGACAAGGGACCCAGGCTCACTTGCTGAGGGGTCATCTAGCCCTAAGATTTCACCCAACCACTTATTAAAAGCTGAAAGAGGGACATGGGTGGCGGGGAGCTGTTTCTTTGCAGGGAGTGGGGTATGGATTTTTAAATAGGTTTATTCATGTTTATTCCTTATATATAACAAAGCTAAGATTCCAGGAAAGAAAGCAATAGTAAATGGTTCTTCCTCACCAAATACAGGCACAAGTTTCCTCCTCATCTTCTCCAAGGTAGGAGAATGTGTCATAAAAGTAAGGAGGCTGCCAAGATGGCTCGCTGGATAAAGGCGCTTTCTACCAAGCCTGACAACCTGACCCAGTTGTAGAAAGAAAAAAATGATTCCTGAAAGTCAAGTCCTCTGACACACACACACACACACACACACACACACACACACACGCATGCATACACACGCATACACATGCACACACACGCATACACACGCACACACACACGCATGCAGACTGAAGAACTCTGGGTCATGAATGGGAAGGGATAACTTTCAGAGGCTCCTGCCAGGTCAGTTTCCATGGTGAACTGGTAAGGACAGATGTGCTGGTTCCCTGACAGCTTCACTTGGGTGAAGCAGGCAGCTGTTGGCCTCCTCTCCCCTCTCTGAAGATTTCCTAGAGACCAGAGGTCACCACCCCATGCCAAATTCCTCAAAGAAACTAAGACGTCAAGAGCTTGGGTTCATAAATAGGTGAGCAGCCCTCTCAGTGAAGAAAGAAGGAATAGGTGCCAGCCAGCCACAGGACCCATTTTGTAAGCTCAGAGAGCCCTCTGCTGGGAGATGAGGCTCCGCACAGGAAGAGTTTGGGGGAAGGGAAGATAAAGCTGAAGTAAGGCATGAGAATCTCCTGAACACTTCCCTAGACACTTGGGACGTGAAACAAGTACAGATCAAAAACTAGACAGGATTGCAGTTTATTGACACCATGCCATGACAGCTGTTGACACTGGAGGAGGCGGTTAGCGAGAGCAGGAGAGCTGTCTCAGTGGACCTCACTGGGACCTCTTCACCCCTCCCATTCACCCTTTCAGCTAGAGGTCGTGGATTCAGAGTGGAGATCTAATTCTACACCCTGAAGTCACTACCACCCATGCCATTCCTAAACCCATCTTCTATTTGATCCATCAGTTGAGGCCTGGGCCCTTCCTCTTCTTCATAATAAGGGCAGAGGGAAAACAGAGCCATGTGTCAAGAAAGAGATGGGTTGCTGGCTGTGGTGGCACTTTTAATACCAGTACTTGAGAGGAGAAGCAAGCAGATTTCTGAGTTTGAAGCCAGCCTGGTCTACAGTGTGAGTTCCAGAATAGCCAGGGCTACACAGAGAAACCCTGTCTGGAAACAAACAAACAAACAAAGGAGGAGGAGGAAAAAAAAGAAAGAGAGCTGGGTGGTGATGGTGCACACCTTTAATCTCAGCACCCAGGAGGCAGAGGCAGGTGGATCTCTGTGAGTTCGAGGCCAGCCTGGTCTACAAGAGCTAGTTCCAGGACAGGCTCCAAAGCTACAGAGAAACCCTGTCTCGAAAAACCAGGAAATAAAAGAGGAAGAAGAAGAAAGAAAAGAAAGGAGAGAGAGAGAGAGAGAGAGAGAGAGAGAGAGAGAGAGAGAGAGAGAGAGAGAAGAACTGGGACGGGATGTAGCTCCGTGGTAGAGCACTTGCCTAGCATATGTGAAGCCCTGAGGTCTTCCAGAGAGACTGGCAGCTGGAGAAGAAGGTGGGGTGTGGTGAATGTCTAAGAAGGGTCAATGAAACACAGACTTTCCTGTCTTGAGATTGTACGCTGGAGGCCTGCCTGTGTTTGAAGCACCATTTCCACATCAGTCCCCCTATAACTGGGTTAGGGTGGTGGCCATTCCTGAAGGGGAATGCTTGTTCTGCCTGGGTGACTTCCTGATTAGGGAAAGAACTGGAATTGTGGGATTTCTGTCTGAATCATGACATCAGAACAGACCAAGAGCGCCTAAAACGATCCCTAAAAGCACCCACATTGCCGTGTGGAGGGCAGTGCAGGCTACCGACATCCCTTCGTTCCTCTAGAAGAGAAGAGAGGACTGGAGCATTCAAGGATGCGGGGCACAGCAGGCATGAGCCCCATGCCTCCCTAATCCCAACACTGCCAGCCCAGATTCCGGAGTCAGCTACTCGGAAACCTGAAGGATTAGATTCTATTTGGCTTGCTGGTGGCCTTCAGTCCGTGTTCTGGGATCCAGAAGGGTAAGGGGCTATCGGAAATGTTTTGGCCAGAGAAACGGTTTAGGAAAGGAAGTATCATCTATAACCTGGCTTGCTGCTAGGTGGGGAGGAGACTAGCGAGGGAAGCCAAATATTAAGACATCCTAGAACAGCCTATCTGCTCTTGGCTTCCAGGACCAAATACATAAACACTTCCATGTGTTGCATATGTAGGTGGGCGCACACACGAGCCCAGGAGGGTTTTGTGACTTGAAACCAGAGAGGAGAGAAGGGCCTTATAGGGATGCCTCCTCCAGTCTAAGGGGTTGCTGGTCTCAGTGGCTGCTCCCCACCTCAAGTCCCCTGACCCAGAAGATAAACAAGTGGTAACATTGTAAGGTGGCACCCAAGAAGCAGCCTAAGGAGGTAAGGAAAGAGGCAGAGACTGGCTCCCCTCAGAGTCCCTTGTTGTAGTAAACCACATCGATGCTGGGGTTTTGCTCTTGGATCTCAGCTCTCAGCTCCGGCTCCAGCCTGGTCACGTGTATGGAGCTGCAACAGAATTACACGGGCTGGATGAATGTACCCTGGGCTCAGCATCTCAGAAACCGGATCTCAGGACCCGGCTTCCCCTCACTCCCAGATGAAGAATCCTCTCCCAGGGGCTGTCTCACTGTCATTCCCTCAGATCCTGCGTCACCACTGTGCCTACCAGGGGACACACTAAGGGCCAGAGATGTGGAGTTGTGCAGAGATTCTGGTCCAGCCCTAGGGCATCACTCACCTTCTCTGGGGGAACAGGGCACAGCACAGGGGTGTGGCAAATACCAGGCTACGGAAGAAGAGCACAGAAAATGTCTGTGAAGCTGAGCATTCCCTCCCTGGACCCCGCCTCATGCAAACAGCCCAGGAGTGAAGGCTTTTTTTTTGGGGGGGGGGGCTTTATCCAACTGTAAAGGTTGAAAGTGGAGCCACAGGACCATTTGGAGATGTTAAACTCAGTCCTGATATTAGATTCTGGGCGAGGAGAGAGCCTCAAGAGCATTGATCCAAAGCCCCAGGACTAAGTGACAGAATCAGGGATAAAATGGGCTGGACCTCCTGGACTGTGCCAGAGTTTATGTGCCTGGCTTCCTCTAATGAATAAAAACTGAACCCCTCACCCAAACTATTGCTCTTCAAAGGCAAGAACCCCTAGGACTCACACACACACACACACACACACACACACGTGTATTGTGCGCTATGGGTATCTTTACGAACAGGATGTATGACAGAGCAATATATGTAAGAACCTCAACGGTAGTAAGTGCCCTCCGCACCCAAAACGATAAAGACTCTTCCATGGGCCCTCATCAAACCCGTTCACACTTACCAGAAGCCTACCAGTCCCACCTGCAGGGGAGCCCCCAACCAGGGGCGGCGCTGTGGAGAGACAGAGAGACAACAGAATGGTTTGTGTCTCCATTTTCCTAACTTCCATCTAGGTTCTCCACCATGGTTTTAGCCCATCAACCTTACCTTTGAGCCCGTGAACATATGGATGTTTCTCCCAGCCAGTGACAGGCTGGAACCTGCATATGGCGACCTCCTACCCCCGCCAGACTTCTGCCTATCCCATTGTATGTTCTTGCCTCTTGGGATTGGTTCCCATGGCAATCTCTGACCCTGACTCTCTCTCATCTCACTTTCTCCAGGAGCTACTTTCTTCAGAAAGCCTCCCCAGAGTCTCCACTCACTTCCTGTCATCCCCAGGGGCAGACACACGTCTCTCTCCACACCTCCATCCACTTCAGCCACAGTGATGGCTGCTCTGTTCTCCAAATGTGTCAGCCCATCCCTGCCCAGGGCCTTGCCTCTAGCTGTTCTCTCTTCCTGAAACACTCTTTCCCAGGCTCTCCTTATACTTTGGGTCATCCAAGGCCTATCCTTGTCTAAACTCTTCCCAAGATAGTCTCAATTATAACGTTCCACTGATTTCTTACAAAGCACATTTCATAACTACAATGATATGTTTGTTGGTTTTTTGTTTCATTGTTTTGTTTTTTGAGACAAGGTCTCACTGGGTAACTCTGGCTGACCTGGAACTTGCTATGTAGACCAAGCTGGCCTCAAACTCACAGAGATCCACCTGCCTCTGCTTCTAGAGTGCTGGGATGAAAGGTGTGCACCCACCGGGTCCAGACAGATCTATTGCTTATTCCTTTGTTTGTTGGTTTCTGTATTATACTGTACGCCTCATGGGGACAGGGTCTACGACCATCTTAGTTCTGTTTAACATGTTTGGTGCAGTCGGTGCTTAATTTTGATATGCTAATAAATGACTCAGTGAACGAGCTGGAGCCTGTATTCTCGAGCCTTGCTACCCTATCTTGTTTGTGCATTCATGACAATGTATGTGTGCCTCTTAGTGGGAGACACAGTGGTGGCATCATTAATACATAATCAAGTATGGCAATGACAGTCACCGGTGTGTATGTCGGAAACCTCTGGACTGGACAGGTAAGAGGTGAGTTTCTTACCTTCAGGAAGTCTTTCTTCTCCAGAGCATTCATGATCACTGGGGGAATGGCTGAGGGGAGAATCAGGCAATGAGAGTTAGAGAAGTGGACTCTGGGAACCTGAGGGAAAACTGCCCTCCCACCCTCCCATTCTTCCCAGACTTGCGGACTCTGACTTGTCAAAAAAAACCCCTGAGAACCTTGACCCCTCTTCTCTCCCAGCCTCCCGAGCTCCACCCGCCATCCCTGCCTCACCCATGGCAGGAATCGCCATGCCGATTCTCGATATCACCACCTGGAAGATTCCCTGTTTGGCCGCAGTCACCGAGTGGCCAAGCCTCTGACCAGCCTCATCCGTCACTGGGATGCCCACCTGCAGCTCCCTAAGAAGAGAAAGAAACTCAGGTCAGATGATAGGTTGCGGATCTCTGGAGACCCCTTAGCTTCCCCACTCAAAGGCTGGTTCTGAACAGCTCCCAGGCTGTAGGGTAGAGCCCAGAGAGAAGCAGACAGGTGTCGGGCCAGTCCCATCCAGCCAGGGAGCAGGGAAATGTTGGTCACTCAACATGGGTTGAAGAAAATGAGTTTGGGGAGGAGCCTGGGGTATCAGGTAATTTCCAGAGTATTGGAATCCAGCATGACAGGGACAGTTATCTTGAGTCATAACTACCATGAATGACCCTGAGTAGCCAGGTGGAATTTCTCCACACAGCATTCCAGATTAGTATAAACAAAACTATTAAGAATGTTGTTTGAGCCAATCATTTAATCCCAGCACTCAGAAGGCAAAGGCAAGAGATCTCTGTGAGTTCAAGGCTAGCCTGGTCTACATTGTGAGTTCCAGGACTGCACAGAGAAACCCTATCTCAAAAAAATAAATTAAAAAAAAAACTTATTGGGCTTTATGACCAGGACCCTGGTGCCACCACTGCCAGAAATGTGATTTTCTTGATGTTATCGTAAGACACATCAGTGTACATTTTTGCTTATTGTAAGTCATCCTGACTATCATATTTACACCACTTCTTCTCACTCAGGTCACGAGGCTGCCAGCACCATGCCCCTATCAGCAAGTTCCCAGTGAAGAGTCTTCTGTGAACCTGTGGGTCTGTCTCACCCTTCAGTGTTGCCACACCTCGGGGAAAGTTTTCACACAGTGAGACGTGGTGGTTCTTGAACACAGGGTCAGTATAAGCCAGGGTCCAGCAGCTCCATCAGTGATGGAGAGAACTCTCCCTACACCTGGCAGGTCTGCAGAAGTCAAGGTATCTGGACATCCCTGTGCCAGAAGCCAGGGCCACTCACCTCTGCCTCATCAGGGGGATGTTGATGCAGTTGGCAGCGGCCACAGCTGCGAAGGGTACAAATCGGCCAACTAGTGGGGGCAGGTGCTGGGGGAGGAAAGGCGGTGTTCAGAGCTCTGAGGACCACAGGGTGGGGAGGGGAGAAGGAAATGGGTAAAGGGCTAATGAGAGACCAGTAGTGGTAGCAAGACTTTACCTTGGTGAGAGATTTGAGTCCCAGAGCAGTGGCCACAGCCCCAGTGGTGGCACTCACATAGGCTGTTCCCAGCTGCCTGTAGAGGAAAAGGCCAGATCACAAGGAGAGATAGGAGTCCAGCATGCATTTTCTTTAAGGGACACTAGACATTTCCAATGCAGGGGGTGTCAGAGAGTAGCCTCACTGAAATCCCCACCCCCTGCTCCAGTGGAAACTTAGGTGAAAGTCCTCCTCCTTCTTTAAAAGGGGAGTGGGTCCCCCAAAAGAGATACAAAAGGACTGAGTGCCCTCAGGTGGTAGTCGAACATGTAGCAGAAAGGAGAGCTGAGCCCCTGGCACAGGGGTCCACATGGACCATGAAGAGCTGGGGAGGGGGCTCTCACCGCACGGTGATAGGAGCATCCCCACTGCGATTGGAGTAGTTCACAATAGCGTTGAAGGACTGGTTCACCCACTGCCAGAACACCACAGTCGGAGTCTTCCTGAGGGTACAAAGATAGACCACTTATATCTGTTCCTCCACAGTAGTCTCCCATTCTTGAACCCCCAATATTGAATTATTTTTTATTTTTATGTGCATTGTGTTTGACCTGCATGTGTGCGTGAGGAAGTCAGACCCACTGGAACCTGAGTTACAGACAGTTGTGAGCTGCCATGTGGGTGCTGGGAATAGAACCCAGGTCCTCCGGACAACCAGCCAATGCTCTTAGCCTGTTCTTAGCCACTGAGCCATCTCTCCAGCCCCTGAGCCCCCAATACTGAAACCCTCAGAGTCCCTTAACTCCTTAAGAGGGACTTAAGTGATGGTCCCAGAACTTCCTCTTGCCACCCTCACAGGTACACCTAACACAAATGGAGGCTGGGTTCTGAAAAATGGGAAGAATTCTTACACATCCCCCCCACACGCACACACGCACGCGCATACAGACACACACACACACACACACACACACACACACTGTTCTTTACCCAAAAAGGAGCAGAAAGGAGACTTCTAGTCACCCAGCCGTGTTCTGGGCCACCCCCGCAGGAAGGGGACGTGGATAAGTCTTACCTGTAGAAGGTGAGCATGCAGCCAGTAATGGTCATGTTCATGGGCACCTGGGCTGACATGCGGCCAATCAAGACCACCTTCTCCCCTGTGTCTGGGTGGAAGGCAGAGTCATACACATACTTGGCTCTCCACAGCTGGTCCTCAGTGAGCCCTGGGGTTGCCACACCAGCCCTGCAGAAATGGGCAAAGAACCAGCAGGCTGTTTGTTGTAGGGATCAAACCTGCCCTTCCTGTCTCTGCTGCTTGCCTCGGGGGGAACTCCAGGAGATGGACCAGGAACTTTGGCACTCAACCCCAGAGTAAACGAGCTCCCTGTCCATGGGGGAAGTCAAAGCCTCTCACACGTGCACTTTGCTCTTTCTGCATCTTTTGTGGTCCCGCATTGTCTCCAGGGTCACGGTGATGGTGGTTTTCAAAGGTCTGAAAGGACTGGGGGGGCACCCCAAGAGTTAAACCTCCTGAAGAGAAGAGGATTACTGCCTGTCTATCTGCTTGGGACTCTCCTTTGGGCCCTTGGCCTTGCAGAGTGGACAGCACTGGGAATGGTCACTGAAGAGGATCTGTGAACTGCAGAGCTACTGCCTACCCATAAATCCAATGCCGTCTCCTCAACCCAAATGTCCCAAAGTCCTTTGAGCTAAAGTGCTGTGTCACTGCCATCTGGTTTGAGGCAGGCTTACCTGTAATTCTGCACGATGTTACGGGAAGCTTCCAGCTGGTCCCCGGACAACAGCAAATTTCGAGGGTCAGTAACCGTGAAGAAATGCCGGGCTCTGCCTAGAAATGTGCTTTGGTCCCATCGAGGTTCCTGGATGTTGATATCTAAGGGCAAGTCCCCCATCTTCTGCAGGGCAGCAAGAACAAAGATCAAGTCAAGGACTTCACTTGGGGAAAACCTTGGTGGCTCTGCCCTGGTTCCAGAAACTGTGACCGATCCTTGCAAGGGCTCAAGGTGACTCCAGATAGGAAAAGCAAGGGGAGGGGAGGAGTTGCTTCCTATGTAGTGTTTTAGCCAGGGACCTATAGCTACTGAGGAGGGGGAGGAAAGACCGGAACCAAGAACACATATAGCTTTCCTCATGCTCTGGCCTGGTGCAGATCTTACATGGTGAGGATTTACACACGTGTGGTTGTTTCAAGAGCACCAACTAATCTGGGGCAGCTATCTTGAGCTCCTGCAGTAGGAGCGTAGAACGCGGATAACACACCCAAGTCCATTTTAGCTTCAGGTCCCGCCTGCCCTAAAGCCTAGATAAACACTTCCAAGGCTGTTTGGGAAGTTGACAAAAGCCATCCCACACTCAAGCCCCTGACTGGAGGAGAGCAGGATGGCTAGCCACCTGAGGGCTGATCAGTACCAGATCTCACATGGAGCAATGGCAGCCGTTTGTGAGTAGGAAGGCATACACACATCCCCTTTGAACCCATTTGCTTCAGCTCCTGCACAACAACCCGGCCTCTCCCTCGTCCTAACCCATACAACTCTCTCTGAGCCATCTACCTCAGGAAAGAGCAAGATTAAGTGAATGCCCCTCCACACAGCACAAAAAAAAAAAAAAAAGAATGCCAGGAGCAGCCATCTGCCTGTGCTAGGCAAAAATCCTGCAGAATGACTAATCCCCTCCAACTCCACTTCCTCCCTCTCTGTAGACAACGCCCCTACCCGACTCTCACATACCCACACACAAAGATATGCACGCCCTCCCCCGCACACAAACAGGTTAGACCCACACTGTATACACTAGCCAATCAGCCAGAATACCGTTACAGAGAGAGAGAGAGAGAGAGAGAGAGAGAGAGAGAGAGAGAGAGAGAGAGAAAGACTCAGTAATATCTATCAGATGCATTGAAAATAGACACAGAGCCTCACACAGCCACCTCCTCCTTGTGCCCTCCAGATCCTATGGAATCCCCCACAAGACAGAGAGCGACTTTCAAGGCAAGCCTCCTCCTCCGACCCCAGGCCCTCAACCCTAAACTCTGAAGATTCCCAAGGCTGCAAAGCACTCACGCTTTCCGGGATTTTCAGCCTCTAGCAGCTCTCAGACCCGCCTTCCTCACAGCTCTCTGCTTTCCTCCCATCCATCACCGGGACGTCACGCGTGACGCTGAGCAGCAGAAAAGGGCGGGGGCTTCCTAGGCTCCTTCGCCCAACCCGCCCCCGGCTTGGCAGAATTCCGGGGCAGTGGATGTCACATAAAGCGACTACCCCAGACCAGGCCGTTGAGATCAGACCCGACCCAGTCTTTGGAAGTAGTTCTGGCCTCCTTCCCGACAAGAGAGAGGAGGGGAGGAGCCGCCCCACTAGCCTCCTTCGCTTGCAGTCCCTTGGCTTGCCTCCGGAGGCACCCGACCCGGCAGCACCCAGTCTAGGTGCACTGGGCGCGGGTGAACGGCGTGGAGGGCGGGCCTCTGGTTGTGCGCCGCCTAGAGGGACTCGGATTACTGCTTGTTTACTTGGTGGTGCCTTGGCAATGGGCCTCTGCCTGCTTGGCCCCCTGGTCGGCTACCCCAGGACCTCTCAGAATCTGGCCGAATCTCGCCATTCGCATCCCTTTCCAGCCACATTCCTGTGGTGCCTGTGTTCCTTCTATGTTCCCCAGCCCTCTTTTGCCACCCAAACCCCAGCTCCATCGTACCAGCAGTTGCCTTGCGCCTCCAACACTTATCCATGCACAGACTGAAGCTCCAGCCCCCGGGATGTGCACGGTCAGTTTCCCGTGATCTCTGCCTGCATCCAAGCTGGCACATCAGAAAGACTCCTCTCCTCCTAGAGTGCTGGGATCAGCTGCTCTGTCTTGCGGACTTTCCAGAACAGAGTGCCAAGAGAAACACGTTTTCAACTCAGGATGTGAAGAATGCATCACACACACACACACACACACACACACACACACACACACACACACACACACACGCCTCACCCATTAGCACCCAGAGCACTGCCGCGGCACATCCAGGCTCTAGCTTTCGTTCCTGCTTTCTCTCAGGTTCACGTTAGGCTCTTTTACTTGTGACATTCTCCCACAGAGACCAGGGTCAGGAGTGACTACGAAAGAGGTGGCAATTTCCCCAGCCCCGCAAGGTAGGGTAGCCTGGAGAAGATGTGATTCTAGTCGCTAGTGCGGGGCTCCACAGCTGCCCGAGGTTCCAGCGACCGGTAGGATTCAGAATTGGAGCAGACAGAGCACAGAGGTAACAGGCAGGTGACGAGCTATAATCCCGACCGGCTCCCAAAGGTGCCAGGAAAGAATGACTGGCGTTCTCAGCAGCCAATGGGATCCCAGGACCGTGCAGGCCAGCCTTATTCCCGCAGCCGCACCGAGCGTGGGCGGGGTCCTTAGCTGGTTCAGTGTCTCTAGACCGCCTGCGGGTGAAGCAGGCGTCTGCGAAAGCGACCAGGTGAGGGGGCCGAATCCTAGAGGTAGCGGGCCAGAGGGCCCACGGGGAGGGAAGGAGGCCACAGAGATGCTCTGGAGGACGCGGCCCCTGGTTTTGCACTAGCTGATCGCCCAGTCATGGATAGAGCCTTGCGGTGGCTTTAGTTCCACAACTGCAGCATGGAGCCTAGCAGTCACTTGGGGGTGGCGGTGGGGGCAAGCTCGGCTGCAGCTGTCCCAGGTCCTGAAGTCCAGCCCCTACCCATACACACATACACAGGAAAGATGCTGCAATAAACTGTCCTGAGACCCATTTTTTCTCGCCCTTTTTAAAGTTCAAGAGCCTGCTGTAATCCCATCTCTACTCTCTGAACTTCAGCTGAGGACTGGAGATGAGGTTGAGATTCAGTTGAGAGCAGCAAGGAGGGCTGAAAGAGAGCTTCCCAGTGGCCTTGTAGAAAAAGCTTCCATAATCCAAGATGGTTCTGAACTGGGCAGATTTCCTCTGGCTCCAGGGTGGGAGAGGTGAGGGGTCCATGTAATGAGAAGGCAGGATGCTCAAGGCCCGCGGAAGTGTGGAGTACTAAGACCACAGCACTCATGCCTCTCCCCCAAACACAGATTTGAAAGCCACACTTCTAAGAAACACTGAGAGCGAGAGCTCCCATCCTCCTCACTGAGACTCCAGCCCTACAAGGACGTTCATGGAGCTTGGAACGCCAACGGCCAACCTTCGGAGGACAAGCAGACTCCGTGTGGATCTGTAGGGCAATGCCCGAGCCTCACCACCATGGCACGTGGTTTCACAGTGGGCTTTGACCCATCGGGTCTAGGAGAACTGAGCTCTGGCTCTCTGAGCTCCCTCTCCTCCCGAGGCCATCTGGGCAGCGACTCGGGCGCAACAGCAACACGATACTTGCTGAGGAAGCAACAGCGCCTACTGAATGGGCCCCCCCGCGGAATCCGAGCCTCATCACCCATGGGCCGAGTCATCCTCATCAACTCCCCCATTGAAGGTGGGTGTGGGGCCCAAGAATGGCTTTGATGGGGAGTTCTGAGGACAGCCAGGACCAATTAGGATGTGGGCTGGTGAGAGCCTGTATGGTTAGGGGAATTCAAGAGGTGGGAGTCTTAGGGAAGGGGATCAGCTTTCATTTACCCTGTCTCTCCTCCAGCCAACATTTTCAGGCTTCAGGGCTAAAGAAAGATCAGTGGTGGGAGCTGGAACTATTGTGTAAGGAAAAGATATGTTAGCCCTGGGGAATTCACAAGACAGGGTACTGAGTTAGCCCCTCTATCCCTTGAACTCTGTCTTTCTTCTGACCCATCTGTATGTAGCGTAGGGAGTGGGCAGGATGGAGGAGATCTTCCACCAGCCAATCAGTTATGTCATTAGCTCGATACTGGACTATGGAGAGTCAGTGCCCAGGCTTCAGGGTATGCGGGACGGGGCCAAGATACAGCATCATATATTCAGAAAAAGAGAGTGGGGACCAACAGGAGGGCTGAGAGTCAGGCAGTGTACCCCAGAGCTGGGACCTTAGGAGAGAATGGTTGTGTACGGCTGCCTGGCACTACGTCGTTGCACACCAATTCTGATCTATCCTGGTGAGGTCCTGCAGGGGACCTAGAGAGAAGCAGCTCAGCTTTCACCTTTCAGGAATGTGCAGCGTAGTCAAACTTAGAGGCACAGCAACAAGAACAGCTGGTTGGGGGTTGCGTCATCCCCCACACGACTCAGGAGGGAAAAGCATGAAGCGTGATGGGCCGAGAGCTTGGATGACCGTGACAGATGTGAGGCAGCAAAGAGCCTGCGAGCAAGAGAGAACCTTGAATGCCAGGAGGGGAGCAAGGCCCTGTGGGACGGGGCTCTCCATGGGCAGGACCAGATAAATATCTCCAACTCTTCTCCTCTTTCTTAGCCAGCACAGCTCCCCTGGCTAGATCCCAGAGCAGACTTTTCAGGCCCGGTGTTTCCTCTGATGCAGCTAGCGCTCTCTGTCCCCTTACAAAGGCAGCTGGGCAGAGGTGGGGTGTGCTGCCCAGGTTACGGATGGCACACTCGTTGACCACCGTAGGTCCGGTCCTCAGGCACCCACACGGTCACCACTACCATTCAGACCAGGAAGCAGCAGTCCCCAGAGGAGTGAAAAGGCAGGAGTCATGACCCTTTTTCTAAGCAGCCCTTTTTCCTTTCCCAGATTGTTCATTCATTTCTACGGTTCATTCGCACATCTGCTTATTTCCCCCAAAATATTTATCAGATAACTATGCACTGTGCAATATACTAGGGACGTATTGGTGGGAAAGAACTACAAAGTCCCATGATTAAGCTTGCAGACTTCTGAAAGACAGTAAACAAATCACAAATAAACAGTAAGACGCAAGATAAAAAATATTCTGAAGGAAAAATCACGGTGACCAATAGACACGAGAATGTTCCTAAAACTTTAGGGTGGGCTAGAACTGCCTGGGAGAGCTTACTAGGAGACAGATGGGGCACCGGTGAGATGGCTCTGTGGGTAAGGGCACTGCTGCCCAGGGCCCACATCGTATTACAGAACTGATTCTTAAAAGCAGTCCTCTGACTTCCACACAGGGGCCATGCCATGCACATGTGTGGATGCATACACACATGCTAAGTAAATAAATCATTTTTAAAAAGACTGATGGGGATGGTTGGGGAGATGGTTCAGCAGTTAAGAGTACTGGCAGAGGTCCTGAGTTCAATTCCCAGCACCTACATGGTGGCTCACAACCCTCTATAGTGGGATCAGAGCCCCCCCTTCTGTCTACATGCAGAAAGAGCACTCCTATACATAAAATTCATGATTAAATATCTTTTTTTGTTTTTTTTTTTTCAAGGCAGGGTTTCTCTGTTTAGTTCTAGCTACCCTGGAACTCACTCTGTAGACCAGGTTGGCCTTTGACTCAGAGATCCTCCTGCCTCTGCCTCCTGAGTGCTGGGATTAAAGGTGTGTACCACTACTGCCCAGCCTATAATTCTTTTTCTTAAAAGATATTTATTTATCTGTCAAGCCAGCCATGGTGACACACACCTTTAATCCCAAACACTCAGGAGGCAGAGGCCTGCAGATCTCTATGGGTTCCAGGTCAGCCTGATCTACAGAGTTAGTTCCAGGACCCAGGACAGCCAAAGCTACATAGAAACCTTGTCATGAAAAACCAATATATATCATGTGCAAGGTCCCAAGCATCATACTCATAAACGGAGGGGGTGCAGAGAAGAAGGAGGGAGGGAAAAGAGAGAGACAGGGAGAGAGAGAGAGAGAGAGAGAGAGAGAGAGAGAGAGAGAGAGAGGTCCAAAACCTCAGATTAGAAATATTCAGAATTTTCTCCGTGTAGCCCTGGCTGTCCTGGAACTCACAGTGTAGACCATATTGGCCTCAAACTCAGAGGTCTGCCTGTTTTGCCTCCCATGTGCTGGGATGAAAGGCATGGCTGGATTTTTATGTTTTATTTTATTGACATCCAAGATTTAAGCTGTGGAGTGAGTGGTTTAGCTATTTCACTTTGCTTTTTTTTAAACTTTTATTGTTGTTTTAGTTTTGAGTGGGTTTTTGTTTTGTTTTGTTTTAGTTTTTTTTTTTTTTTGGTTATTGCTTTGGTTCAGTTTTTTTGAAACAGGGTTTTTCTGTGTGACAGCCCTGGGTGTCCTGAAACACATTTTGTAGACCAGGCTGGCCTCAGACGTTCAGAGATCCATCTACTCCTGCCTCCTGTGTACTGGAATTAAAGGTGTGAGCCACCACTGCCCAGCTACTGTTGTTTCTTTTCTTTTTTATTTTATTTATTGTATATGGGTGCTCTATCTGCATGTATGCCTCAGATCCCAATATAGATGTTTGTGAGCCATCTGTGGTTGCTAGGAATTGAACTCAAGACCTCTGCATGAGCAGCCATCTTAACTGCCAAGCCATCTCTCCAGCCCCTTGCTGCTGTTTCTTTTAAAGATAGATTCTCACTATTGGTATTGCCTGGC